TTATATGCTAGGGTTGCCATATGTGAAACCAGAACCTTTGCTTTACACTTCTGGTGCTAATTGGGAATATCAACCTCATCCATCTTTGAAACACATTTTGCGAAGGGAGCTTAAACTTCATTATAAAAATTTTCTTTCAAGATGTTTTGATAAAAAGATGATTCCATTATACCTTTTTCTTTCTGGAGCTGGCACCGGAAAATCTCGAAACGCTAATGAGTTTCACCAGACGGCAATCACATGTTTGTCAGAGTCAGAAGATAAGGAGTTGTTGACCAGAATCAAAGAAGCTTGGGTATTCCATATCAGCTATGAAAATGGCACCTACTTACGAAAGGAAGAATCCACCCCTTATCCTGCCGTTGGTACTCGAATGCTACTTCAACTTCTTCGAGAGAAAATGCGACTTTCTGAAATTATCCAAACATACGAGCCAGCATATCCGGATGAAATTATAAAATTTGTTTCCAAATACTATAACCGAGACTTAAAAGACATTACGGTTATTTTGGTTGTTGATGGTATGCAACAGCTTATGCACGACAAAGATGATGGTTTAAAATCAGATTCTCAGTTTTACCAGACTCTGTCAAATATTGCAGACTTTGCGTTTCAGGGCATTTTCGTGATACCTGTCTGTACTTCAACAATAACTGGCCCTGTTGAGGGTACATTGAAACACTCGCATCGCAAACGTGTATACCTACCCGTCACTTCTCTGAAACCGCCAAACTATCGTCAAGACCATATGTTGGTTCCGGTCTTTAAAGATGATGAGATTACTAAGACTCTTGTGGAAGACTGTGGAGGGCATGGAAGGGCTCTGGAAGCGCTGAATGATTGCTTGGCCGGTCGTAATATTGAAAAATGTAACCTCAATACTTTTATGAACGATCTGCGTCTTATGCTTACTGAAACATATCGTGATGCTATTTTTGGTTCCATGGACGACGCCAGGCCCGTTGCGCGAGCAATATTAACTCGATGTCTCTTAAGTTTATATAAAAATGTTCCTAAAACCAACAAAACACCGGACCAATTTGCTGCGAGTGGATTGATTCGATTCGAACAAATAAATAAGGATAGTCCACAGGGATACCTCACTGCACCATACGTCTGGCTCTGGATATTTGTAGAGGTATCTAATAACCAAGCAGATCCAATACTACGAGATTGGCAATTTGCTGATTATGGAGAACAAAGAGCGCTTATTGATCCTGTGTCGTCATTGCAAGCAAAGTCATGGCAGAGTTTTGAAAATTTTGTCACGTCATTTCGTTGTGTAAAGTCAGCTGTGATTGAAGAAGATGAGCTAACAACGATCTCGGAGGTTCACGCGGGAGCGCGTTTGAATGGCGACATCCAATTTAAAAATCACAATCTGCAACTTGAGATTGCTAGAAACCAAATAGACACAAAGTCCGAAAATCTCACTGCAAAAGAATGGAATGTTGATTGCTATCATTCTACCGTTGATGTCCGGAGATTTAAACATTGTATTATTAACGCTCCATCTTCGCCATCCGGGGATGCCTTCCTTTCATTAGATCAGCCGGGTACCGAGAGTCCAAACGAAATTCACCAATACAAACAGAGACAAAAACCTATCAGTCAAGTGACATACGAAGAAGAACGTAAAAAATCTGCATCGGAAAATGATTTTTTCATCCTCTTTACGACTGCAGAAAATTGCAATATCGAACTTCCGAAACGCTCTGGGATTGTAGATGGAAAAGTTTTTAGGGACTATTTTGGACCATTTGCTGGCAGAGCATTGAATTTTTATTTCAGAAAGGGCCTTCACACGGTTTCTCGCATTCTCCCTCGATTCATTTAATTAAATAAGTAAAATAAAAAAATACCAACATTTCATCGTGATTACTCGTTTCCTGGTAAAGCGATCGACGTTCCCTTTCGGAACGCACACGTGATTTTTACTACCTATTCGAAGTTTTGAATAAATGTGCTTTCTATATAAATCAATGGAAAACGTCCAATCCAAAATCGATTCGTTGAGAGAATTAAATTATAAGCTCTTAGCTGAAATTTCTGTGCTTAGAAAGGAGAATTCTGACGTCAAGGCCGAGAATACAAAATTAAAACAAGATAAAGAAGAAATCGAGGCCAGGTTTGTAAAACTAGAGCAAAGAGACAAAGAAAATGATCTTAGAGCTGAAGTAGCAAAATTAAGGTACGACATTGAGGAAATCAAACTACAAACCCGAGTTAATACTAACGAATGGGATATGCCTTCTTTTGCAGAGCAAAGCCACTTATGTGGCACAGAAGATATTTCACACTCATCAACCAGTTCACCATTACCAGTAACCTGCCCGTCGCCTATTCAGAATAGATCCAAACCGATAGCAAATACAACTGCTGTCATATCTAAGATCGAACCTATATCATTGGAAGATAAGGTGATCGATGAATTCCTGGATGAGGTGCATAAAGAAAAGGTAAGTAATGAAATAAGAGAAAGAAATAGAGAAAAAAAGCTTCAAGAAGAGTTAAAGACTCGTTGCAAATCATCCTCAGTTATTCAAGACCTATCATACGGTAGTACAGAAGCCATTCTCTCAAAAAACGATCAAGATGGAAATTTATGTGATATGAAAACCGTTCCCTCGGGGGACGATCGAGATGTAAATTTATCATGTGGTACAAAGACTATTCGTTCGGAAAACGATCAAACTGAAATATCTGAATTAGAGCAAGATGTCGAGTTTGATAAAAATGAAATCGTAGAGCAGGGTTTAATAGAAGAATTGCATTTATCTACTGATAAGCAATGCCTCATGATCCTTGGATCGCCCTTCGGGCCTGATTCTATTGATTCTGCTATAGATAATACCAACTCTACAGAAAATAAGGGTCCAGCTCAACATCTATCTTATTTATTTAAAACGGCAATTAAATCTCGACAACAGGAAATTTTAAACTGGTATTATTATTCCCTTGAATTCGAAAACAGGGTTCATGTTATTACAACTGATGGTAAGATCAAAGACAAAACAGCAAGAACAATGATTTATAAAGAAATGAACCCGTTTCTTCCTAATATCACTCAAGATAACTTGCGTAAAAAAACTCTTAGAGCTAGAAAACTTCTTATGCTATTCGGAGAAAATGGAGTAGGTATAGATAAATCAAGCTAATTACATATAATGCGAATGAGCTTTCAAAATTGACTAATGTACAAATTCAGAATATTATAGATCAAGTGAAATCAAAAACCGTTCCCCCGGGGAACGATTAAGCTTTACCAGAAACCAAGGTAAGTATTACAACCACTCCCTCTAATTCGATAAGTGAAGTTAAATCTTTACTGGAGGTTGAGATATGTGAAGAGATTGATCAAGATTCCGATCCATCGAAAGTCAAGATACAGGTAAGTGCGCCCGATAACTCGCGAAGTGGGGATGCTATCGCATCTGAAGATTCCAACTATGAATACGATTTTGAAGATCCCTTCGATAACGATGAAGAGGAAGATGATGATGGATTCTGTGGATTTTCTGACAATGATGAATGTTATTATTATGATTTAAATACCGGTGAAACTTGCCGAAGGCAATCACACAGTGGCTATACAAAATCGGAGAGTCGAAGACTCGATCCTTTGGATCATCGTTCAATCTGCGCATATTAAGAATTATCGGCGGAGCTGGCACGGCCAAAAAATTAACAAAAAATAGCAGATCCTGCTTCACATGTATTTTAGATATCTTAGATATCAGCTCTGCTATATTGTATTAATAAAGAAATCAGACCTAAATGGTCTTTTTTTTCGATAATTAATTTTATGCGTGATCATCAAATCCGAAATTGATTTTCATGACTCGAAGAGTCTGGGATCCGCCCATTATATCTAAAATTGGTTTTGTTAGTTGCGAGAAGTATAGTATATGCGCTTTGGTACTAACTCTCGGTTATAAAAAACGTGTTAGATATATGAAAAACTTATCTGGTTATACATCTCGCTATGTCTGCTAATATTTCATCTCTTGAATCCCTTGCATTAAATATTCTAAAAAATTCATCCGTAGAAAAAATAGCAAAAGGCGTTAATGTTTCAGAACTTGACCCATGCTCATTATGCAACCGTGAACTTTTTTTGTATGAAATAAAAACCCCAATTACTATACTCATCTGTGGACACATACAATATATCATCGCGATTGTATTGAAAAATCCATTGAAAAACGTTCAATATGTCCGAGACCAGATTGCAAAAAAGACAATTAATGCCCCCGGAAGTCAGAATACCGACGATTTAATGGATATGTCTCCATCATTATTTAATGACCCTCCATTATTCAATGATACCTCCCAGAAAAAACGTACCGGTGAATCTACCAATAAATTATTCAGCAAGAAAGCGAAAAAACAAATATCAAAAGAAGATTCTCCTATATTAAAAAAACTTATTGAGGAATTGACATCAGTAATATTGGAAAATTCTGAAAAAATAAAAGAAGTCAACAAATACACCAATAATTTTTTGTATCATTATAGCAGAATTACACAAACTGAATCTAAAAGTGAGATAGCGAGTAGGGAAGTTATTGAAAGTTATTTTAAATTTGGTGAAGCTATGAAAAATGTTTCGATCATTAAAAGAATCTAAAACATGGGGAACGAGCTTGCTTGGCTCTTGTTAATGATGAAATCCGGAAACAACTCCCCGATAATATCACTAATGATGCATTGAAAAAAAGAAAAGAAGAGAGCGGGAAAAATATATGATTTATTTGTTAGTATTGGTAAAGAGAAAATAAGAGGTATTAGATCATTTTCAGCATCAACCATTTCAAACTTAAGTCAAGAAAATATTGATTATGTGATAGTCGAAGTTTTAAAAAAGGAAAATAGAATATATCTACATCGGAAAAATTATTATGCATAAGAATAATAAATTTAGAGCTGAATCTGATACTTATAAATGCGCAGTCACTCACGACCAGCTGTCACACCACACTGCATAAAGTTTAAAGCCCTATATGAAATGACTTGGTCTAAAAAATAGGACTAATAGTCTTACACGTGCACATTCCGTTTCGGAAAGAAAATTTTCTTGGTAGTGCAATTTAAAATCAAGGGCGAATGCTTTATTACGGATCTTGTCAATCTTTGTACAAAAATTTATGGAGTTATGTTTCATAAAAACTTTAAATGCATTTATAAAGTGAAATGAAAAACAAAATTATTTTTTCTGACACTTTATTCTTCTTATCAGGTGTTATCTGGTATTGTTATCCAATCGGATACACAGCCATGACTATTTTCCATCATAGCATCTTCTTCACACATTTTTGCTTTTATAGATTGATGTTCTGTAAGTAGTTTCTCCAGATAAATGCCAAGATTTGCTATTTTTTTAAGCAACCACCGCTCTGTGTATGATGTTGGAATCTTGCATTTAAATATTTCGTATATTCTATAAGTTTTAGCCCTAACAAGATCTGTAAGATAGATCGATATAAAATATTCTGAAATATAGAAATCAGATGAGTTTTATTCAATAAACCCATTCTTGCAAAACATAATGTAAACACTTACTATATCCGTGAATACTGATGGACTTAAAATTTTTTGCTGTCGTTATTGAAGAATTTCTATACTGAATAAAATGAATGTTTAGGTCATCCACGCCATTCCTTGCCAATTTAGTTATATCTTCTAAATAGTATGCCTCATCGAAATCTGTTGGACCAAAAGATTGTTCATAAATGATTGTGGCATTTTGATCTTGATATATAACCGCATCATTTTTATTTCTATCGGAACTTGTAATCTCGCCACTAAAAATAGAAATAACATTAATTTGTATTAAAAGTATGGGGGGAAACTACAAAACTTACTAGGAAACTTCTGATATTAATCCTCCAAAGAACATTAAAAACAAGTCAAGAATTCGATAAATGGTTTGGCTAGACCAAGTCTTCTCATCACCCTTTCTTTGTAAACCTCCGTAATAGTAATAAAAAATAAAATGCCGACATATTTCACTCGTCCATAAAAGTAGAGGTTGAGCATCCTTGCTGGGTGGGTTTCTTACTTTTAGGAACGCACTTTCGATATCCCCGTTGAGTAAATCTTGTAAATATTTTTCGATAAAATCTGGAAGATCAATTTTAACAACAGTATTTTGATTTATTTTTTCAAACAAATCCTCCGCATCTGATTGAGATAACGATTTGAATGGTTGAACCAATATATATATGCCGTGCTTTCTCATTTCATCAAAAAGTTGATCAATTTTTTTCTGCTTTATTTTTGTTTCAACCGCAACCTGTATAATAGATGTTCATTTGCCGTAAATAAAACTGAAGAAATTATTATCTAACAAAATCCCACATACTCCAATTTCTGATTCTGATTGCTCTTGTTCAGTGATCACTTTGTTCTAAGGATATTCATGAAGCATGTTAGTGTAACTAAGGTAACACTGAAAATCATCCATGGTCTCACCTTCGTCGTCTTCGTCTTTTTCACCGGAGGAGTTGCAGCTTCCTTGATATTCATCTCATCTCGGCGTTTTCTCAATGAATGTTCTTCCTAAAGAAACGACATATTCGTGATTAATAAAAGTTTTCGTAGCTTATAATTGATCGTGATTTAATACCTCATCTCTTTGTTTAAATAATGAGCTTGTCATTCTACCGTTGATCTCTTGATCGATTTCATCCTTCAGGTTTTCATTTTCATTTTCTCGTCCATACTTTAAATTGCTCTGACTCATGAACTCGAGCTGTTTCGTGTTTATCGTCCTCTTCTCCTTGTTGGCGGCTTTTAGTTGATAATAAGAGTGCCGAGCCTAAATGTGATTTTATATACAATGTGAAAGTGATCGTGTAATAACGCAAAGAGGGCCAACGTACCATTTCTAACTTCTTTTTTTCATTTATTCTTCGTCGTCGTCTTCGTCGTCTTCGTGAATATTCCATC